AATTTTAAGCTATAGGACATTAACAAGCATACGTCTGAGTTTCTAGCCACTTCAAGTGTGTGTGAGGCAACAAACTTATACAAAGTATTTTTAGACTTCCTGCAATCAACTGTCCTCCCAGCATTGCTCAAAATGACGCACAGTTGTCAGAATTATTCAGTTGTGCTAACATATGCTCTAATTGTAAAGTTCCATTTCTGTGTTTTCCATAAAATAACTAATGTCAAATTTACTCATGCAAGAAATCGAATGACAAGAGATTAAGGGTCATCTAAGCTAAAACATACTGTGTAAATGCTTATTAAATTATACTTACCAAACCAAAAGTAATTCATTTTATCTACAAAAGATAATTGTATAAACTGAACAAAACTCTAGTAACGCTTGGTTGTCTTCAGCAAGAGAGGTGGCTAAATTCTGAACAAGAAGTTTTGCCATCACAATATCATGCAAATCTAAAGTTAGCCTTACTTGGAGATAACGTACGTATTCTGAACAGGAAAAGGAAAAAAAAAAACCAGAACTCTTGCCTCAGCTCTACAGGTCCTGGAAGAGAGAACGCCTGAACTCTCTCCAAGAACTGGTTATTCTCTGGCACGGTTCAGAGACCAGTCAGTGGTTGAAGTATTTCTAGAAGGAGCAGTCAGGAAAGAGGACAACAGTTTGTATCACCGAAGTATCACGTGTCCAAAACAGGATCAAGTTATAGAAACAGCAGGGTACGTAAGGGAAGCCAGAGAGTATTCCAGTACAGGATGTTCTTGTAAGAGACAACCAAGGACAGGGTGATTACTAGAACAATTCAATCATTGAGTAGAACTGAGTAACAAATCACTATTTGATGCTGCTCCAGACGATACACTATTATAATAAGGACTGCCATTAACCATGGTTATGCATTATGTCTAATGAAGAAACTTCAAATGAAGAAGCTTGCAAGTTAGCTGTGGCCTACATCTTGGAGCCAACAAAGGCATCTCAGAAGTCTTCTGCTACCAATTTGCAAAAATGGGTGAATAAGATCAGTCGAATAAGACACCGACGCATTTCTTCCATGAAGAAAGTAAGAGACGTCATTAAGATGTAACGCTGTGATTTGTTTTCAACTGTAATTGATGTGTTTTCTTTTAGATTATGACTGTTCTTGGTGTATTTTAGCCATGTGATTGGCTTTCACAGGAGTACTATGATTGTTACTTTTGATTATTGCCTCAATTCACGATCCTCCTCATTAGGATCATTATTATTAATATTAGAATACTTAGCCACGGAGAATTGGTCGCTCTGTCCCAACTATTGAGAATAAAATGGGAAGAAGTTTCAGGGGCTAAAGTTTGTGTAAATTCCACTGAATGGCCTTTGATTCAAGGTCTCGCTTAGATTGGAATACAAAAAAAAAGTATCTAGTTTTACGGAGTAAATTTTCACAGTAGGGCTCTGTTAGAAAGAAATTGGAATTCCTCTTTCCTGTGAAGAATGGAATCAAAGCAATCTCAAATTGATATTAATATGGATGAATTTTCATCAGACTAAATAATGCAGACACAAATAATTTTAATGAAGGAGACCATCTCTAGGGGAAAGTCTCTAAAATTGGTGAAGAACTAATTAAAGCAGTCAGAATTACACTAACCAATTCAATGCTGCTGAGGTTGCCTTACTACAGGATGTGCTGGCAACATAGTACGAGCACATTCCATCGCTCAGCTGGTTTGCACCGTTTCATACTCCTTTCGTACATTTGCAATCTTAGCCACGACAGAATCAAAAATGGTTCAAAACCAGCACAATCTAGTGATACGCCAAGAGTTTCAGGTTCAGAAAGTCTGACAGATGAAGCCACCATACAGAATTAAGCATCTTCATTTAAGTAAACACAGAATATATTTCCTGTTGTCATACAGAGTTAATATAACTGCTGTTTAAATGAAAAACACATGCCTTGTGTGTTTTTAAATTTCTCTCCCCTTCTGTGCAGCACCACCAGCAACTCTGTAAGTGGTTTACTCAAGAAGCGTTTACTAGTTTAAACAGGTTTCTTACATTTGGTAGAACAAAGCGTAGACAGCTCTTTGTGGAGCAACGCAGTTGCAAAACATTAAAACAATTATTTTACACACTATTCTTTCCCTTTCGTGGCACATGCGAAGAACTTTTCTGAAATACCCTCTGAAGGCAGGACCACCTCTGCCATCATCTGCAGGTCCAATAGCAGCATTGAGCAATTTTAAAGAGATTTTGCCCATACCTGTGAATTCCAACGCTTTGGATCACGGGCTACTGCTTCCACCGCTAACTCGGTTCATTTACAAACATTCAGCAGCCCCACGGAAGCCGCAGTAACGAGAAGAGCAAACTAAGCTGCAAGCTTTTCAGAAATTCCCCCCAGATCTCTAGGCAAAACCCCAGGGAAAATATTGGGTTTGGATTTTCAAATATTGAGTATCGACAGCAACGACAAAAGGTTACTTAAGTAAGGAGGGCAGATCTTTGACCTCACTAACAAATCCTGCAGCTAAATTTTTGGACGCAAATATAACACTACCGCATTAGGTACTCACATGGTCCAGAAGAGTAACAAAGCAATACAGACAAGTATTCACGTTTCTAGTCCAACCAAAACTTGCACACAGAGCCCGTGTGGAACAAAACCAGGTTTGTACATCAAACCATTCAAAGGAGCCGATATTAGGAGAAAGCACTAACTCCAGTCACATTATCTAGTGCCAAAGTAATAATGATGTAACAGAACGAGAAGAAATTCCTTAATAGGGACCATGAAAGTCTTTTCTTAATAGGGAATTATAATCTGAGAGTTAAAAATAATTCAACTAAGAATTACCAAAAAAAGCAGTACATAAGCAGAAACTTATGTTGATGACAAATCCAGACTGGGGTGAAGGAAAGGGTCAGCACTGATGCCCAAAGTACAAAGACTATTTATGATAAAGCACAAGTGGTGTATATATATGGTGCTCCTAGAACTACAAAACTAATAAAAACATATACACAAGAAGAGGCATGTGCACAGAAAACACTTAAAACCACAAACACTCACTTTGATGCTGTTTGATTTAACAGTTATATTGAACAGTTGAAATGCCTTGCCATTTCCCCAGTACCTTCTTCGCTTTGATGTTAAATATTCAATTTTTCTTTTTATTAAGCATACACAAAGTCTGAATAAGTCACATTGAAAGTGACTGGAAACTATTTCATTTCACTCTGCCAATATTCTCTTATATTACTATCAGACATTTGAATAAAAAACCTTCTTTATATTTGATATGGGCTTCATGCAGGCCTTTATGGAGATCAGCTATTCAGAATATACTTTTCAAGTTATTCTCCCATGCTTTTAACAGGATAGTTAAGGGTAGCCAAATGAAAGTATATTTTTTTTCAAGTGTCAGGAAAAACACATCAATGCAGGTAATAGCTACACACATAAAATACAAGAATTTTAACAAACTGTTTAATAGCTCAGGCCTCAGAGATCTGAGGTTAGGAAAAAAAGACCTAAGTCTTTTGCAAGATCAGGGTTTTATTGCTATGTAATTTACTGGGTGAACTGGAAGGAGTAGTTTGAGAAAAATTACTTCTTCAAAGCAAAATCGGTGCAGTTGCTCCTAAATGCAGTTAAGTTTATTTTCAATATGGGAAGTAGCAGTACCTGATATGTGACAGCAGTCAAGGTTAGTTTTACCATTATTCATTTAAAGAGAACTTTCAAAACACCAGACATTTCTGGACATTATTCAACAGTGGTTTCTTCAACACAGGTGCAGGATGAGGAAAACAAAAAAGGTCTATGCTTCACAGGCAAAGCTGAAGTGTGTAGGACATCTCCAAAACACACTTCCTTTCCTCTTTTCTCTGTGCCCAACAGAGTTTTTCTTAAAAGCATGGAGTGAGTCACTTGTCAGATACATCTGTCTGGTGCACTAGGAGTAAACAGTGTTTTGCAACAGCCTTAGTAAAGCAGCAAGCACATATTTAAACAAACACAGAAAGCGCTGCGTTATCACAGCAATTAAAAAAAAAAAAGTTACCTTGAAAGATGCAGTCTTTGCTATTAACTGTTTAACACTGGCTTTTTCAGAGAGCTATGAGAACCCAGGTAGTTAGCAAACCCCTAATAAATACTTAAGAAAAAAAATAAACAATATGAATTATGCCTCCTTTTAAAAACTCAGCTTGAGGAAAAAGGAAAAAAAAAAAAAAGGAAAAAATTATCTGTGGTATGTTTTAAAACACTCTCCCTTCTATAATTTTTATATTCCTTAAGGAAGGCGCTTACAAGGTCACAAAAAATGCTTTCTCTAAAAGTTGACAAGCTTCTTACTTTAGAAAAAATATAGCAAAAGATATAGTAAACCCAGTTAATGCTTCTTCCTTACCACATGTTTGAAGTCTCTTTACATCCAAATAAAAAAATCTCTGAGATTGCAAGCAAAGAAAACATCATTCTAGGCTTGTAGTGGGTCTTGGGTTGTGAGAGATTATGACAAAATTCCGACGGAGACGATTTAACTTTTCACGTGGCTTCTCATCAGGTTTTTGCTTGCAGGCGAAAGCTTGATTGTGATATTCCAAAAGAAAATAAAGGTAACTTGCACAATGAACCGAGTTGGTGCTTTTATTTATTATATCCGTAATTATTAGGTGCAAAGGAACTCCTGCTACAATTTAAAAAAAATAAATAAAATCTTGGCTTACACGATACACTCCTAACTGCACACCTGCGCTTCCACTGCGCCGAGATAGCCAGCTGACCTTAAACACCAAGTCTGTGAAACAAGACTTTCATCAATGAAACGCGGTGACTTAATGGAGACAGACCATTAGCTTACAAAACAGCGTCACTTTGTCTAACCAGAAAGAAAGTAAAATTACCCCAGTGGGACAGAAAGGAAGGTTAGCAAGGAGGAGCAAGGAGCCATCAAGTGCGAGGAGCAGGATTTCGATATGCCGAAGGACGCAAGACAGAGAAAGCCTACCTTCCAGCGGGGTGGCCTCGCCGCCTCTCTGCCTCGCCTCAGCGCCCCGCTCATGACAGAGTGGTCGTCACACAAGCCACGCACAGCCGCACGCTGGCCCCCGGCCAAGCCGCTGACTTCAACTGCTCCATATTCATACAGCCGCAGAAGCCACACACAGGGGACAGAGGCAGAAAACGGAGCAGAGCAGACGGTTTGGCCAGGTCCCCACCACCACAAGACGGGAAAGCTGCTCTGCAGAACCAGCACCCAGCTGCCAGCAACACCACACCTGGTGTGCCACCTCACACAGGTCCGTTCCCAGTCTGAAACACCACCACCACCACCAAAAAAGACACCCCACCCCACCCCAATCACGGAGTTCTCATTGTTCACACGTTTTAACATATTTCCAATAAATCGAACCCGGCCTCCCCACTCTAATCACAGTACGTGTGGCAAGGTGTAACAAACAGCGACCAGCACCTTGCAAAGACAACCGGCACGCAGGACTTCTTCATGGTAAAAGGCAAGTTTAAAGAGAGAGATTTAAAAAACAAAGTAAAGAAAAAAATCCCACAAACTTGAAAGTTTCACAGAGTGATAAAGTGCACTAAATTCCTGCAATAAATTATCTTGCACATTCTCAACTATTTCCTGACACACGAGCTGTTCAGTCAAAAACTTAAAGGTCAAATTTGCATTGATAGCCTTGCCAAGAAATTTTCTAAAGAGGAAGAAAAGGGAGGAAGAAAGAACAGAGAAGTAGACATGAGACTTAAAAACCAATATCTGTATTTCATACAAGATAAAGAGTCACATGCAGTACAGAATCAGCATAGAGGTATTAGTCCAATTTTTAATCTATAACTAACTTTAACTGTTTAGTTTACTAGCCTAATATTTTTCCTTGAAATATTTCCAATTAAAGATTGTCTACTTTCTCCCATGTTACTTGGAAAGGTTTCCTCCTGGAAAATACGCAGAGGGGGACTACTGACCGTCTCATTTTAATCCTTCCTCATTCTCCCATGCAGAGAACTTGTCTTTCCTTTATGCACACTTCATAAGCACTTCTTTATGTCAGGGAAAAGAAGTCTGCAGCATGCATAAAACTGCTACTCCTAATTTTTAATCAATGCAAGCTGCATCCAGGCATCTTTACACAAAAGTTTAGAAGTAGGCACACAGCTGGCAAGAGAACTATCTCTGAATGCTTCAGTTACAGCAGTACACTTAAGCACACATACGAAAATGCCAAATTTAATTTCTTATGTACGCCACTTTCTAGTTTTCTAATGAGCCTATGTGGATTTTTTTTTTGCTTCCTTTTTTTAAAATGGAGGAAAAAATGAAGCACCTGTATCTTCAAAGACCAGCATATACTAAAAAGAAAATTGAAAAGCTTCATTACTCAAACCTATTTTTGCAACTAATCAGGAACGCATAACATCTAAAGGTCTCACATTCAACCAGTTGATACTTCAGTGAAATCATATTCACATTAAAACCGACATGCTAGTACACTCAGTTGGGGAAGAAAGAAAAAAAATAAAAGTACAACCGCATGCATGCCTTATTTTCCACACTTTGTACCATCAATAAAGCCTTTAAGAACAAAACACCTGAAAAGGCAAACCCCGTCTCTCAATAAAACAAGGCACTGTGATTTACAAAATGAGCACGACAGCATTTAAAGGCATTACAGGCTTAGTACTGGTTTTGCACTGATTAAACCGTAATGAGGCATGCGCTACTTAATCCAAAAAGGACAACTTCTCCACAGCTCAGCTTCCATCCTGCCTCTCCACCCCCTCAGCACCTCTAGCTGAGAAATGAACTCTCAGGTCTGCACCCAGCCTAACTTATGTCTGGCATAGACCAGCGCAGCTGTGCTGGCTGCTACACTCGGAGCAGAGAGCCTTAACTCCACTTAGCCCTTCCCTCCCGGCTGTAGAAATAGGGGAAGACAAAGAACCCAGAGCATCTTTTTTTTCCAAGCCTTCATCGAGCTTTCTACTGTAAGGTCACCGTTTACCCTAGGACACAGGTTTCACACCAAAATCTCTGGTTCTACCAAATGCTGTGATCTACCAGAAAGTGCCACTGAAACTCCCCAAGGCAACAGATCCAGCCCAGCTGACAGTAACTGTCGGTCTGAGTGACATATTAAAAAGCAATCAAGCTGATTACATTATGCATGAAAACACAGTTAAGTAGCACAGTTTTACTGCAATGTTAAAAGAGCATTTGATCTTCCTCAAAAGAAATCAGATTTAATTGTCAAGATATAGGCAAGAAAAAAGCCAATGTAATAAACAGCTTTTCTTCAATAGTTTCTGGATTATAAGGTTTCCCACACTAAGCAAAAGTTTTATAGAAGCAAAGGGTGAAATTAGTGACCTTGACTTCGGCATGAAGGGGCTGTAAAGTTATAAAGTTCTCCTGTTCCCTTTGGGATTTTTTTGCTTGTTTTCACTAGGTGCAAGTTATCCCCACCACTCCCTTCTCACCAGGTACAGGTTCATTTCTAAAGAACCCAGTAAACCACCTCTCCCCTCAAGCACAGTCTCTTTGCTGCAACAGGCCAAATGCTCTCCAAGTTTGTCCTCCCAAAGCCCAAAAGAGGAAACTAGAGAACAAAAGCTTCTGCCTGAACATCCATCAGGTCAGGAGAAACCTAGCAGAGAAAGAAGTCCATCTGTAAAGAGAGGGCAATTCTTGCTGTACAAAAATATTTTTCTTAAAACACCATTCAATGTGACAGCAAAGAGCTCCATTCTGGATGTGTTACATTTCTGCCACAGACAAAGGAAAACATTATAAATAAATAATAGACACACACACACACACCCCCCCATAGCAACGCCAAACTCCAGGTGGCTAAGGACCACCTTGACTGTTCCAGGAAGAGGAAGAGAAACTTAGGAAGAAAGGGCACTGCCAGACCTCAGTCAGCCTTTCTAAATACAAAGGCTGCACCGGGCTTTTAAATAACCAATTTTTGAGGCCCAGTAAGTTCAACCTAATAGAGAAGTATCTGCTGAAGACGACAGTCAGCCGCCAAGATGTCACGAGTTCCTCAGTAAAAGTGACAAGCCTCACAACATGCTACAGAAGACCTTATAGCTCTTACTTACCCAAACTGACAATAGACTATTTTCATCTCAGATGGGAGTACTCCTGTTATTTTTAACTGGAGGCTTTCCACATCAAATTTCCTGCAGGTTTTAGATCCTTGACTAAGAGAGACAATATCAGTTTAAGTAAAAACAGCTGCAGAGAGGCAGAAACATGTTCCAGATTTGCTCACAGTTCTGTACACCTTTGCATTAGCAATTTTAACACGGTATGGCTTTTTTTACTGAAGTCCTAGAGAAACTTAGGCAGTAACATTGCTGAAGTTATATTTATGCTTAGATTCTATGCAGACAGAGATTAATTACGAATATAAAACATGTAATCTGAACAGCAGTCCAACAAAACAATAGATTACATCTAACATTATTGGTTAACATTTAGCTAAGTTTATACTGGAATTTCATGAAGGTCCCAAACTGTACTTCTGCGGCTCCAAAACTACGGCCTAGGAGACAAGTTCCATGGTCCCAGATGGTTTGCAGAAGTACACTAAACAGTGCATCACTTGCATTGCATTTTGACTAATGAGCACGCATCAATCCTCAGTCTATTTTTAGAGCCACCACGTGCCGATCCCTCTCAGAGGCAGTGACGCCACAAGAGAACTCCCAAGACCAAGAAACTCTTTCCAAAGTATCGCAGTTTGTTTCCAAAAAGCAGAACTCCATGGATAGCCAAGAAGATACAATAGCAATGAGAAGGAAAAACTGATGCAAGACTTCTCTCCTAACACATTGTTATCAATTTGTGGGTCCTATATACAGCCTTGCATTACATCTGCAGAATAAAAAGTAATTTCCCAAGGAAAAAGATTATGTTCCACAAAGCGCTCTGCAGAGAGCACAGGAGTGAACGTCTCCTTTCCTACACAGGAGCACAGAGACTACCAGAGAAGTGGCTACGTCAACCAGCGTGCCAACAGGAAAGGTTCCCCCATTTCAACATTGCAAAAAACACAAATAAAAATAAAAAAAGAAATTCTCCTTCCATGCATCAGGCCTGAGCAGGAATATTCACTCATTAGGGCTTCTGAGTCAAGTAATACCTTCAACAGAAAAGTAGTACAGTTCTAAGTTAGCTTTTGAGTTATTCTGCTAAAAGCTCTTGCTTTTTATATCACGATCCAACTAACGAAATTCTTTCCAAAACCCCACCCTTCTCTCCACGCCAGAAGTTCACAAATTCGAAATTCTAGCCCCATCCTGGATTAGCAATTCATTGCTTTGTCACCAAGTCTTATTTCGCAACCAGCCTTTAATGTAGCTGTAGCAAGAACGTCTATAAAATCTTAAGTTGCCAAGACCTGTTCTGATGCTACAACTTCACTTGCTCACACTCAGATTCAGGATTCCAGCGGAGCCCGAAGGCAGAGATACAGGAAAGGGCAACTCTGCCAGCCATTATACCTGCCAGAAGCCCAGGTATTTTTTGCCTACTGCTGCAGTTATTCCTTGATTAAATTGAAAGGTTCGCAACACCGCAGTAATTCATTCTTCCCTCCTGATTTAAGGAAAAGGGGCCATTGCCTGCAACTTTTAGTCAGAGAATGGACTGACCGCAGAATTCTGCGAAACTCTGTGGATTATACTGCTGAAAGTGGACCTTTTGGTGTATATGCTGATAATAAATGAAGAAGTCCTCCAGAGCACAGCGCTCAGGCTTATGGTGGAAAAAAAAGAAAGTATTTTAAGTATTTTCTCTATTCTACAAATGTGCTAGTGCCCGTACGTTCATAAATACCTGAAAATCTTATTCCAATAGACAATTCTGACGGTGATTGTCACTAGCAAAATTAATTTGTTCGTTATGAGAAGTGAAAGGTACAGAAAATCTTAAATCTAAAGACTAGTTAAGATCATTTTTAGGGTTTTTGTTTTTGTTTTTTAAACATGCT